CGGTTGTCAGGGACCAGTTCATCGAAGACGATCTCACAAGCCGTTACCAATCTATCAGACTTCACCCGTTGGTAGAAGCTAACAAGAAAAGAGTGGACATTGGATCTTCTGTTGTGCTATGGAATGGCTGTAGGATCACCCGTCCTTCCTTTGTCGACCACTTTAAAAAAATTGTTGCAACCCATAACCCAATTCTGATGATAGTGGCAGAGGTGGGGGCAATATCCACCAATTGTGAAAGGATTCTTGCCAAACTAGGCACAACTATGATTTGGAGGTTTGATGCGGGTGGAGGTGTGCTTGGAGGGACCGTGGTTTTCTTTGACACTCGTAGGGTAGACTCAGTCATCCTCCTAGCTGCAGATGAGTCGAATGATGAGCGTGTCATGGGCACAATTACCCCAGTTGAGGTTGAACTCCCTCACTATAGATAAAAAAATATTGTTATTATGTTATTTAATTAAATTACTAATCCTTTAATTTTAATGTCCAACATAGGTTTCTGGTGATGGTGAGGAGAACTAGTATCAAGTGCAAACGCTGATGGGGAAGGCTGCAATGTGAAGTTAGAAGAACTGTATTGCTACGCGTACTAATCTATGTAAAATAATGTGTGTTGTTAGAGACTTGGAGTTTGTGTGTCATGGAATTGTCTTGCTATGGTTTGTGTCTAAACTTGTTGAGTTTGTGTTGTTTAAACTTGATCTGTTTGTGTTGTTTGAACTTTAAACTACGTTGTATTTTAATTGTACTATCACTACTATGTTGTGTGTTAATGTTTATGTATGAATGTGTTATGAGGCCCTAATTATATTTAAAAATTAACTCATTACTACGTTTTGCCCTTTTAAATTTGGTGACTAATAGTTTAAACCCTATGTTTTTTAGATTAGTAACCGAATAGTGATATAAGAAAGATAAAACCTATATCATAAACACCATTTAGTGATTCTTAAAAAATAAAATAAAAAATAAAAAAAAACCTATCTTATAAAAAGTAACAAGTAAAATTAAATAATGTATATACTTCGTTCACGTTAAATCAGTGATAATTTACACCATTTAATTTTTTTTTAACTAAACCACCTTTTAAGTTATTTTAAATAATGTATATTGTATTTAGTTATTTTTTAAAAATAAATTTTACAGATAAATCCAAGTTTAATAAATACATCAAATACAAATTTTCATTAATTTAAGAAAAGGACTCCTTTGCATTAATAATTGGACATAGTATGTTGTAATAATTCATAACTTCTAAAAATAACAAAAGATCAGGGGTACAACTCTAACAAATATGTTACATTAATTACTACTACTACAACATTCCTTCATTAAATGAAAATCAGACAGAATAATTCTCCTAGCTTTTAGGGTTTGAAGTTCAATCATTACCACCATTACATTAAAGACACTATAACAAAAGTAAAACCAATTGATTTCACCACCGAATTACATAGGTTAAGTTTAAATCCTTGGCTTGAAAAATTCAATTGCACCTCTTCCCACAACACTTGAATGAAGGTTTAGTAATTCCGAGATTGGGTTTCTTCAACGAAGGCTGTGTGCCCTGTGATGGTTAGGAAAAAAATATGATTAAATGTACAAGATGGACTATGATTTATCTTAATATAAACGTGTTACATATCATTAATTGTTTAATAACAAAAGGTAAATAAAGGTAAATAGTAGTAAAAACTATGGTAATTGGACTTTGAAGTTTACCTGAAGCACCACGTTGATTACGTCAGCCCCGGTAAAGGTATGGTGCTGGTTGATTTTGATATCCTCTGGCTTCCACAAGACTGCGACACCGCCGGAAAATGCACGAACAGGGGAAGTGATGAAACTAAAGTGGCGTAGAAGCCGACGTATCATCTTAGTGACATTTTCTAAGAAATGCCTTGTCTCAAGTATTATAATCACGGATGGCTGCATAGCTTCATAAATTATTGAGAAATTACGAAGGAAGGACTCCCTATTGATACCCCGAACATTCCAAGTGAGAATGTGAGTGTTTAATGGCACATTGTTGACATTGGGAACCCATGGAGGGCATGATACCGGATCCAATGCAACATAATGGTAGGGTGCACGCTTCTCAGACTGTGGCGCTAAATGGTGGGGTGCACGCTTCTCAGACTGTGGCGCTTTAAAAATGGTTAAGATTACTACACTTGGATATCGCGGAACATTGACCACTTGAATGGCGTCTAAGAAGCTTGCCATGCACAAGAACTAAATGTCAAAGTCAAGTTGAAACGTAGGAGAAGTTAGATCAATAACGGGCTCTGGATCAATTAAATGCTGCAAGAAGTAAGGAACGGTGAAATAATTCCTGAGATAGAATTCAAGGATAAATTTTGCAGTTTTAGGCAATGGATAACAATCATCCATGTGTGGTATGTGAGCCCGTCGGAGCTCATAAGTGAGATCATTTGACCGCATTTTCAAGGTCGAGAACTCAGGTGTCACATTAGTGGGATTGAGTATGAAGTTTGCAATAGTTTGTTTGGAGACATATGAGGGGTTGTCATTAGCGTCATGGCATAAGAACAGCTTTGAATCGAGGTCCAATTGCGGGGCTAAAGTACGAGGGGGGTCGAAGAAAAGCCGTGCCCGATTACCCTCAGGAGTTATCGCAGCTCTGGGCATGATGGTTGAGTGCTTGGGGTTGAAGATGGGTTCTGTAATTGAGGTTGAAGATGGGGTTATGTAAAGGGTGAGTACTAGTGATTTGTAATGTCAGTATTTGTTACTAAACAATAATAAAATCCTCATGCTTCCCCACGCAAAAAGGACAACATAAAGGAGGGAAAATAAGCTATGCTTCGAAAAGACTATTAAAACATAGTCATAATTTTCGTAAAAAAGAAGAGTGCTTTATTGTAATTTTGTTTTTTATGTGTGGGATGTCTGACTTACTCCAGTAAGCTAAAGGGAAGAGCTCTTCCACTCTCCCACTGACATAGACCCACAAAATTGCAAAAGGACATCAAAGAAATTATATAGTACATCTATGATATATTGACAAGCTAAGGGTATTGATTTGTAAGTAGGGGTGTCCATTATTCGGATAAAAACCAAAATCCAATCTAATCTAAACCGAATTATCAATTCGGATCGGATCCAAACTTTAAATCGGATCAGATCGGATTGATTTTTTTTTTTAAAATTCAGATTTTCGGATCGGATCGGATTGACCTTGTTCGGATCCAAAACACCGAAATAACGAATTATGAAAGCGTTATTTTACAAAAAAAAAAAATTGTTAATAATAATCATGTTAAACTATGTTCATGATTTTAATAATATGTACTACTATACTTTCAAGAATTGAATTTTATTATTGCAATTTTATTTATGTAATCGCATTAGATCCAAAAAATTTAGCAATGTATTTTAATTCGGATTTTCGGATTGGATCCAAATAACCGAATTATAATTCGGATTGGATCCAATCCGAAAATCCGAATTAAAATACATTGCTAAATTATTTGGATCTAATGCGATTACATAAATAAAATTGCAATAATAAAATTCAATTCTTGGATCGGATCGGATCGGATTTGGTAAGTAATTCGGATTGGATTGGATTTGAAAACTAAAAACCGAAATTTATTTCGGATCGGATTGGATTTGGGCTAAATCTAAACCGAAAACCGAATGGACACCCCTATTTGTAAGCAAAGGAAAAGAAAGTGATATTACTTATTGGGTAACCGGGTACCCAACCGGTTCTGGTTCGAAAAAGTTGATAATTGGAATTGGAACCACCGGGTCTAATTCCGCCTCCGGATCCGCCGGTTCCTACCCGGTCCCAGTTCCAATTGACAGTTACACAGACTTTTTGCTCACCCCTAATAATACTTCAAAATTACACTTGGATTGACTAGTTTCAAATAAAAGTAGTAGAATAACAAAAAATATAAATCAGACTAAGTAAAATAGATTATACTACAAAGTTAGAGATTTACCATAACCCAAAGAAATAAGGTATATGATCTAAGTCCAACCGACAAAATATTAGCTAAATTGTTTCACTGCAACACAAACAACACATGACATAAGTCCAACCGCAGATTAATTCTAGAAATCCTTTCTTTATGGTGCAAGATACAATCTTCTGCTTTTGATCCCTCCTAATGTACATTGTGGCTTGATCACACACATGCACATTTAGAGTGTCAGCGACATTACCCGTTCACACACTATGAATTAGTCAAACTATCAATTCACACAATAAGAATCAGTGGATAACTAATCATTCATTTAGACTGTCAGTGAAATTACCCGTTCACACACTGGGTGTTAGTGAAATTACCCGTTCACACACTGTGAATCAGTGAAGTTATCCATTCTTATGTTTGACCTAAAATTGTAATATGATGTTTCAATGTGTGTATTTCAAGAAATAAATTTGTTTGACTTATTTTATTGTTTCAATTTTATCATATTTTTTTTTGTAAACATTAGATTATTAAAGGTGAAACATTGATTGACGAAAGTTAAAACAAAATTCAAACAGCGTATTATTGAAATTGTATAGATGACAAAATTGAAAATAAACAATTTATTATACGGTTAAATGGTTGGTTAAAGCTATACTTATATACTACCTCTGTTACAGGTTATGTGCAACGATTAGACATTTTCCCTCTATGCTTTATGTCAAATCGTTGCACATAACATATAACGGAGGTAGTATTAAAAAATGTTCCTAAAACAAAACTTGTTCACGTGTCATAAACGTGATATGTGAGTATGTGACTTTCACATGTATTAAGTTTGACATGTATTAAGTTTGCATCTTAAAAATGCTTATAACGGGACTTGAACTGAAGACCAACATGTCTTAAGTTAATTAAGAGTCTTGCCATCTTAGATAAGTTAATTTGTGTCTTCAAATAAAAATTTCTTCAAGTAAGAAAATGTGCAAATAAAAATGAAGCACAAATAAGAAAAAAAGTACAAATAAAAATAAAGCATAAATAAGAAAAAGTACAAATAAAAATAAAGTACAAATAACAACAAAGTACAAATAAAAATAAAGTACAAATAAAATTCAAAAAATCTATGAACCTAAATTGAAATCATATAGTCTTTACTCCTTATAGTCAGTCATTCAAGTGTCATCCACCCATCCTTCTCCCTCTATTTCCTTTGCTGCGCAATCAACGTTCTCCCTTGAACTAGCTTCTGAGGTAAGATGTTACTTTCTTTTTGTCGTAAACCAATTTTAGTTTCTAAATATTGGGATTTAACCTAAAATTTCATAATTCTATCTCAGTTACAAGAACAACTCGAGTGATACACTTAGCTGCACTTTTATCGCCTGATAATTCTCAATTGTTGGTAAGTTTGATTTGAATTGAATTTTGCTTTCACAAATTTGCTTTCTTTTTTTGAATTGTTTGGCTTGTACATATTTCTGTGAATAATCTTGATAATTTTTGGAAATTGTAATTTGGAATTGTAATTGCTTAAATTCGTGAATCTAGAGTCACTGCTGATTTTATAATTTAGGGATTTAAAATCTTCATATTGAGATTAACCAATATGCAAAATTTGAGTTCAATTCATTTGATTTGAGATCTGAAATTCAATTGCAAGCATTTGGGGATTATTGTATAAAAATAGTATAAACTACTCCATAACCTAACCCTAACTTGCTTACATTGTGCAAATGGTTTCATATGACTGATTCTTGGATTTTGTTCCTGGTTTACTGCTTTCATGTCTTATTATCTTCTGAACTTATGCTTAGAAAATATGATATTGATGCTGAACATATGACTTTTTTGGTGGAAGGAATTTAATTAATACATTCTTTCCTATATTTCTTCAAGACTACTATAAAATATAGTTTGAGTTATACGTAGAAATTTGAATTTATGGCTGGGAAGGGAAGGCAGTGGCATCATGTTTAGAGGGAGGTTTTTTTGCTGCATGTAGGCAGGTGAGAGGGTTGTGCTCTGAGTGTAGGGCAGTGGTAGGGGGTTGTGAGATTTTAATTGATTGTGGTGTTTGTTTATTTACAGAAAATGTTGAACTGGTTTACTGTGACCGTTGATCATGAGAAGAAGAAGCATGCTGTGGTGAGCATGTTTTTACGCTTTAATTGTATTGCAAAACAAACTGATTGGAACATCATAATAGAGGAAAATTTAAAAAAAAAACATAGCAACACCTACAACACATGGAAATCATAAAAACTAAAAAAATAACTACTCAGGGATTGGCCGATTGTACTTGTTTTCATTTTCTTTCAGAAACTTGTCTAAGGCAAGATGTTCTGCCTTCTGTTTAACACGGCGCCGCTCAGAGCCATGTGCCACACCATGGGCATGTTGTACGAGAGACGTGAAACTGTAGTGCTTTGTTTTCTTCCCCAGGCAGAAGGGGCACCTCAATCCCTCCGCTGACAGCCGGATTTTGGTCTTGCCGTCGACTAAAGCCTTGTATGGTTTTTCTGCACACTCCTCTATTTCGGATTCACTGTACTCAGTTTCTTCACTTGAACTCCTCATATTCTCCTAAACTTTTTCTTAGTAAGATGACTCTCTAGTCTCTACAAATGTGAGTCTTTAGTTTCTTAGTAGTGAGTATTTATAGGAGGGTGAATGTTGGTTCTTATGCTTTGTAGGATAAGGAAGTAGTCAAATGTTGAACTGTATTCGTCAAAAACTCCATTAATGCCAGAGTCAATGTTAAAATCGAAGTGTTGAAAAGGGTTCAGGTCTTAGTTTCCAATCTTATCCCAAATCAGAACACGTCATACTCTTTGCAAGCATTACGAATTTTTTTTTTGTTTTTTGTTTTTAATCTGGGAAAGGAAAAAGAAAATATAATAAATTTAAAATTTTTTTATCGATCACCGAAAACTTTAAAAGAAAAAAAAAATTGTTTGGGGGTGGGGTGTTGGTAGGAATCGAACCGCTGACCTTATGCTCAGTAGCGTGCTAAGAGTTGAGAGTGAGTGACCATTGGGACGGTACCTCGACCGTGATACATTGGCCTTAAAAAATGTATATGTACCTTAAGAAAATCTCATTTTTGTTTATAGTCTTATTATCATTTTTCAAGCATTATCAACTATTTTTGTTTTTTTAATTTTTTGTTTTTGTTTTATTTTTTTTATTATCTGGGAAAGAAAAAAGAAAATATAATAACTTTAAAAAATTATTATCGATCAGCGAAAACTTTAAAATAATTAAAAATTTGTTTGAGGGTGGGGGGTGTTGGGAGGAATCGAACCCTGACCTTATGCTCAGTAGCGTGCTAAGAGTTGAGAGTGAGTGACCATTGGGACGGTACCTCGACCGTGATACATTGGCCTTAAAAAATGTATATGTACCTTAAGAAATTCTCATTTTTTGTTTATAGTCTTATTATCATTTTCAAGCATTACCAGCTATTTTTTTTTTTAATTTTTTGTTTTTGTTTTAATTTTTTTTTATTATCTGGGAAAGATAAAAGAAAATATAATAACTTTAAAAAATTATTATAGATCATGGAAAACTTTAAAATAATAAAAAAATTATTTGCGGGTGGGGGGTGTTGGTAGGAATCGAACCGCTGACCTTATGCTCAGTAGCGTGCTAAGAGTGGAGAGTGAGTGACCATTGGGACGGTACCTCGACCGTGTTACATTGGCCTTAAAAAATGTATATGTACCTTAAGAAATTCTCATTTTTGTTTTTATTTATTTATTTATTTATTTATTTTAAAACCAATCATTTTTGTTTATGGTCTTATTATCATTTTTCAAGCATTTACCACAAATTTTTTTTTTTCTATACTTTTTCAGAAAACGTTTTTTTCCGGTTTGGATTTAGCCCAAATCCAATCTAATCCGAAATAAATTTTGGTTTTTAATTTTCAAATCCAATCCGATCCGAATAACTTACCAACTTCAATCCGATCCAATCTGAATTATACTTCGGTTTTTTTGGATCCAATCCGAATTATAATTCGGTTATTTGGATCCAATATCCAAATTAAAATACGTCGCTAATTTTTTTAGGTCTAATGTGGTCATAAAAATAAAATTACAATAATATCCTTGGTAATTACAATCTGAATTTCCCTCCAAATCGAATTTCCCTTATCTTATATATCAAATCGATTTCCCCCTTTCTTATGAACCCTAATTTCACGATTTCCCCAAATTCTCTCTGTAGGGGCAATGAAGAATAGTCGTTCACATGTTCTTTGGTGAAGCCAATCACCATGGATGATAGGATTGCTTGGGTTAAACATATGCGCTGTGTGGTGATGAATTGGAAGTTGAACAAGGTGGTATTGCTGGTGTTACTTCAAGGCTGGATGATTTGGTAAATTTTATCAAACTAATTTTGAAGATCGCTTTGAAAAGGTATTGCTGGTGATGAATGTTGATGTTGGTTGGTGATGTATTAGGTATGTAACTGATGTACTGTGGTTAGCTTACTAAATGATGAATGAATAACAGTGGTACTTATTATGTTATTTGGGTTGATCATTATGCCATCTTTGAATTTTCTTGACTTGTAATTATGGTTGGTATGACCATTGGGAAGGAATATTAAAATTAAAGATTCTTTCAGTTACCGAAAAATCAGATTGTTCAAGTCTTTTCTTGTCAAAGTAATATTTAATTGCAATTAATATACTACATAATTTTGACAATAGCTTTGTTATATATGTATATATCTATATATATAGCAGTGTTTTCTATCATGCAAATTAGCTACTGAATTGTGCTAAAAAGCTAAGTATAAATAAAAATCTTAGTAAATTGTTCAGAATCTTGAATGGCAAATACTGCGATGACATTTACCATTTGTTATGAAGATCATCACAAAGATAAGCTAGTATGAAACATATAATTATTGCTTTATTATTGCTGTAGTTATGTGTTTTGGTGAGATTACTTTCTAACATGTGTATGTTTTGTTGTTGCTTATATATTGAGCTGGTATTTTGCTTATGTGTATTAATTTACAGCGTATTCCTGATGAATTTAAGGATATATTGAATGATGGTGATAAAGGGGTTGACTTGCAACTACAAGAGTATGGCAGAGTGTGGGAAGCTACTATGGCACATGAAGAGGACAGAGATGGTTGGATGACTATCTTAGCAGGTGGTTGGGTTGATTTTGTTGAAGAAAATGAGATAAGGGTTGGCGATGGTCTAAAGTTTACATATAGAGGGAATAGCTGTTTCTTGGTAAAGATTTTAAGGCCATCAGGAAGCAAGAAATCACAAAGATCTGAAGCTGCAAAGAGCACTGGTGGCTCAAGCTCAAGCAAGAGGCCAGGACGTGGCTCAAGCTCGAGTAAGAGGCCAGGGTGCAGCCCTTCTTACCATGGTAGCTCAGCAAATATAATCGAAACAAATGAATGGATTGATGACCTTGCACGTTCCTGTTCTAAGCCACATTTCAAGTTCATTTTCATTGCAGCTTACCTTAAGAAAGGAGTAATTGTATGTGCTGCTATTAACTGTTACACTATTTTGCCGTGATAAAATATATGTACTTACTCTGGTTCAATTATTGCAGAATGTTACTGTTGACTTTGCTAACAATTGGTTCAACAACTGTGGTGATTCAACTAATGTGCTGCTTCAAAACTCTGATGAGCAAATCGCTGCGAAGCTGAGAGTTGTGAAGAAGGATGGTCTCATTACCAAGTGTGAACTAAGTGGTGTTAGGGAATTTACTGATCGGTACAACGTTCAGGTAGAAGAAGGTGCATTGATTAAGTTTCAAGAAGGACATCCTGCAGTGTTTGATGTAGATCTTGTCTTAGTGTGAGCCACTAAAGATGATCAATTGTTTAAGCTTTTAGGAAGTAATAATAGTAGAATGATGATTAGAATGCAGTTTAAGTTTCTGTACTGTTGGCTTTATTATGATTGTATGCCTTATTATGGTGATTTGGTGATTTAAATTGAATATCTACTTATTACTCACAATATCTACTTATCTATATCTATAGTTAGTATTTAAAAAGACAAACCACAATTACCTATACACATGTCATCACAATTCACCCAGATGCCACATTACACATGCATTAATATGTCCCATTTTCACTATAAAAAAAGTTGTACTCCTCTCAATACCCCTTTTATTGTAAAAGTTAAAAGGCAAATGCTAAAGGCAAATGCTATAGGGCTATATATAAGGATTAATTACATAGTTTATTCTCTTACAATTTCTATAAAGTATAGAATATGACTCAATAAATATGCATTTTCCCAAGAAAAAAACTCAATGATCAACTTTCAATTCATCTTTCAGAATAAAATCAGCTATATGAAGTAGTATAAAACAATAACGCATAACATTCAATCATTGGTTTTTCGACAATTGCTCGTTCTTCCTTTTAACTCAAGGCATCAATTCTGCCAAAACTCTTTTTTTTTTCTTCTTTTGCATAATTTTTTGTCTCTTTTGCATAATCCCAATTTAATGAAACCTACATGAAATTGGGATGAGAAGTAATTGATTTGGGGGATAATGCATGCAATTGAAATTGGACGAATATAGCCTAATTGAATAACATCCATACGAGAACATGAAATTTGGCCTAACTTATTTGACGACTTTTTTTGTTTTTTTTTACACGATGGTAGGATATTAGCTACGGAGTAGAATTGTTTATTGTCCTAAAAAAAAGTAGTTTAGTAAGTGTTATTAAATGTAGTGTTATGAAAATCTATCCTATTAATAACACTACATTAAGTAAATCAGTTTTTTAATTCAATTACAATATTAGATTCCATTGGAATAAGAAAAAGGGCATTAATTCTATGAAATCGTTGTTTTTTATGCATAGCCCTAAGGGCGATCTATGTATAGAAAAACCCAAATTAAAAACCCAAATTATTTAACTTTAAAACCTTAAAATCTTTATGTATTCCTAATTCCTAACTTGCAAATTATAAGTAAGAAAATTAAGCAAATTATTACAAAAAATCACCGACACATACAACACAAATAAGCAACACATTTCAAGAAAAATAAAATGAGCTAGAACTCGTAATTGTTACTCAAAACCATAAAACAATAAAATATGTACTTATTACTCACAATATCTACTTATTACTACTTAATTGTTCAACACATAAAACATAAAATAGACATGCAACAATAACATATCTACTAATTACTACTTAATTGTTCAAACTACACACATAAAACATTAAACAAACATAAAACAATAAAATATGTACTTATTACTCACAATATCTACTTGCTACTATTTAATTGTTCAACATATAAAACATAAAATAGACATGCAACAATAACATATCTACTAATTACTACTTCATTGTTCAAACTACACACATAAAACATCAAATAAACATAAAACAATAAACATTAAACATTGAGCATAATTTTTCAAACTAGTCAAACTTTTCGATGGTAGAAGCAGAGTGACCGTAAGCACCGGATGCATCGCCAGAAACCTCCGGAGACCAGTGATCACGGACATGATATGGAACGTGGGGAACTACCTCCGTCAGGCTTGTGGATCTCCTTTGCCTCTCTGTCCACTGCCTCGGCCTCCGCTTGTTCCCAACTGGTTACACTCCTCCTGCAACAGCGGGTCCCTGTTCAGAAGCATCACCTACTGCTGCTTGTCCATCACCAGCCCCACCAGAAACCCTCTTCATTGCCTCCGACTTTGCCCCCTTCGTGGGTCTCTTACTACCCCCCAACTTAAGCGGAGCGACGTTCACCCTTGTGCCTTTTTCCTTTTGTCTCTGTGCTTCATTGGCCTCTGCCTTATCTTTGTGAATTTTAGATATGGTCGTATCAACATCATCCATTTCAGACTGCAGGGATTTGCACATTAACTGGTAGTCATTCAATTGATCTCTTATCATTTTATTCCTCAACTCAAGGAATTGCAATTCAGAGTATTTGGGTTGATCGTGCTCTGACAGAACCATTGGTTGTTTGCCCTTGTTTTGTTTAACCATTTTTGGATTAATAGAGAAAGAAAGTAAGAAATTGGGAATAATAGAGAGAAGTTATGTAAAAATGGAGAGCAAATTTAAGAGGAAATTGAAACAAATAATGGAAGTTAGATTTGTAGAGAGTAGGAGTGGGAGTTATTTGATCATGGGGATGATGTCATACATACCCTTTCAACTCCCTCTTTCATTCCCTCTTTTTTTGCGCCAAAAATTATTTGACACAATTACAAAGGTCTTTTTCCCCAAAATTAAAAAAAATTGGAAGGCTTTAATTAACTGATAACCAATTGCTCTTTTAATGTCATCTCCCCAAAAATAAAAAAAATTGAAAAGGCTTTAAAAAATGTAAAGTATTTTTCTTGTAATTTAATGTAACGTATTCTAATATTTGCTATTATTTTTATCAATAAATTTAAAATCTAAAAAAATGTAAATTTTTTGGCTATGGTATTATGTATATATATCGATCACAATATTCCCGTAATTTCATTATTATTTTTATCTATTAGTGGTTTGATATTATTTTTCGAATATGTGCCTATGTAAGATACATAATTTACGACACCATTGTAAATTATGCAAATGAGAATGAGAGTGCAAAGCAATAGTTCCATACTATATATAATATTTGTTTCCTAATTATATCACGGTCGATGACTGTCTCAATTGGTTTACATTCCCACCTACACACTACATTTGGTTCTATGTTCGAATCCCAACAGCCGCATTTCCCATCCCCCAAAATTTTTTATTTTTTGCTTTTTACACTACTCCAATATTTGTTTTGGACTTTTGGGTTTATTGGTTGAAAAGGGTGGCAGAATATGAATAGACATGAAAGGTTGCTTGTTCATGTAGTAGATTTTGGTTGCATGTTAAAAGTAAAGTTATTTGTGAAGTCTTATATAACCCCCCTTGCGGAATACACCTTTTTTTTCAATTAAAATATTAATTAAATTATGCAAATGAGAATGAGAGTGCAAAGCAATAGTTCCATACTATATATAATATTTGTTTCCTAATTATATCACAATCGATGACTGTCTCAATTGGTTTACATTCTACCTACACACTATATTTGGTTCTAGGTTCGAATCCCAACAACTGCATTTCCCATCACCCAATTTTTTTTATATTTTTTGCTTTTCACACTACTCCAATATTTGTTTTGGACTTTTGGGTTTATAAAAAGGTAGTCCAATTTTATCTTGTACATATAATTTTGTACAAGAAGGAGTTGCTTATATTTTCAATCTTTGGTAATGTTAATAGCCTGATTAGCAAGTATGCATGTGTTTTGAGCCTCAAGTGTGATATTATAAATCCTAGATTCAAATAATGTTCATACATTAGATTCAACACATAAGACTCAACTCATAATAGATCAGACATTAGGTTTTTGTTACTAATTTAAATTTTTTTAACTAACAACGCTTCACCATTAGCTTAGTACAATAAACGCACGAATCCACATCAGAAACTTGTTCGCCTCCCGGGAATACGTATGCCTTCCGGTTGATGTAGTATCCAAACTTACAAGTCACGCCCCATTGGCCATTAGTTCCACAAGCCTTTTCTGTTTCACCACCTTATGCTTCACCACCTGTGAGTGATGTGTCAAATATGATATAAAAAATAATTTAATTGGAATCACATAAATGACTGTATAAACTTACAGGTTCAGCATTGCCCTTACCCTTGCCCTTACCCTTTCCCTTTCCCTTAACTGGTTCAGCATTGCCCTTCCTCTTTCCCTTAACTGTTCTTGCCTTGCCCTTGATTGGTTTGCCCTTTCCCTTGCCCTAACCTTGTTCTGCCTTTCCCTTTCCCTTTGCCTTTACCTTAACTGTTCCTGCAGTCGGTGCATGTTCATTCTCCTTATTCGCATCCTCTTCACCCTCCTCAGCACCATTTCCTGCATCCTCTTCTATCTCCTCAACACCATTTCCTGCATCCTATATGATATCCAAGTCAGCTTATTCCATAAATAAAAAGTAGTGACAATAAAAGCATAAATCTTACTGGGCTAGGCTTCTTGTTCTTGTTGGGTTTTTTGTAGCCAGTTTCAGCTAATGATTTGTGCCTTGAACCCTTAGGCCTGCCCCTTTTCCTTTTCTTAATTATAGGGACCTTTATAACAGGCACCATGGCAGATGGACATGGGTCTACAAGATCAGCATGAACTGAGACTGATGAAAACGTTCTGTCTTCTTCAGCGAGTGATGAAAGTGTGCTAACTACAGGAACATGTTCCTGACTCTTCTTGTCCCTACAATCATTAACAACTTTTTTCAGCTTTGATAATGCTTCAATTACAATTTGGACTGTTTGATCATTGAGCATGGTAGCAGTGTCACAGATGGGCTCGAACTTTTCCATGATTCTGTTGAATCTCTGCACATTTTCTGTGTCGCCCGGATCATGGTAGGACACCTTGACCCTAGTGTGCTTACGGGGTACATCCTTCCGCCAACGGTCTAAAATGTACTTTTGTGGTAGATCTTCAACCTCATTTTCGTCGAGAATTCTAATACAGTGTTTGCAAAGTATGCCACTTGTCTCAAACTTCCTACAAACACATTGAACCTCCTTAGTCATAGGATAGTAAGTAACTTGGTAGAGCCTTCGCCTATCTGTAATGACCTCCTCACTAGCACCTGGAGGTACTATCCATACACGATCGATCAACAAATACTGAATCAGGTTTTCAGACAAAACCTCCTTTCCTCGGATGTTGCAATACATCAATCTCGAACACTCCGTTTGAACTTCTTGAAACTTGTTGTCTGTGTATAACTTTTGGAAAATTTTTTCAACTTTGAAGCCACTAACCAACCTCCTTAGGTACTTCGAGCAACGTTCATCTGCACTCACTTCATCTGACACGCGTTGAGTTAAGGCCATGTCATATTTCTGAGGAAACTCGTGGAGTTTAGTTTTGCGGTTTACATAGCCATCAAAAAACCGATTGATGCTCTCCACCCTTTGTGTGGTCTTCATACCAGCCCAGAAACACTCCTTCATGTACGCAGGCACCCACATATGACTCTCCTTGTGGAGGCTATGCAGCCATTCATTGTCCTCCAAGTTATACTCCGCTATGAACTCAGCCCATCGGGTATTGAACTCCTCGGGATCAAAACTCTCATACACCACCTCTTTCAGGGGGTTGACAATCTCTTGGTACCTAGAAAAAAATTAATTTACCATCAGAATATATACAATGTCTCAAAAAACTATGGTCTAAAACTATAACATCTTGAAAAAAACACAAATGCAAGCAAATTATATTTAACAAAACAGCACAACAACTTGAAGACTCTAACTCTGCCTAGTGTGTTTAGCAACAATCTTTTGTATACCAGCAAGCCTCCTGATCATTTTTCTACTGTATATATCTGCTCTTAAGGCCTAATAGATTAGACTCCTCTTCACAAAAAAAAAAAAAATAACAGAAAAAATAAACTCTGGCTATTATAGTTCATATATTTTTATCCTGCACCCAACTTGGCATATCATTAAACTATTACATCAGATTTGAAGGCCAAATATTAGCCAGCATCAGTCACAACAGATCATATATCATTAAACTTATATTGAACTCACAACATTTCATATATCATTAAACTTGTATTGATAAGTAATTATCTAACTCTTATTCTGAAGCCTGTTAAGGCCTAATATATCAGCTACTCTTCACAAAAAAAAAATAAAAATGTAACTTATATTGAACTCATACAGCAAATTATTGTACTCATTGAAGTCAGACAACACTTAATATGAACTAATAATTGCATAAGCCACTTACCATGCTCACTTGCCAAGTTTTTCAGGGATCTTGCTCATTATATGCCATATGCACCAACGATGAATCGTGTTTGGCATGGCTTCAGCTAGGGGCCTCCGCATAGCTGCCGCTTGGTCAGTCAAAATGGCACTAGGAGGTTTGTTGTTCATACAAGCTAGCCACTGCTGAAATATCCACCGAAAAGTATCGCAATCTTCATGAGAAACAAGAGCACATCCCAACGACAACGATTGCCCGTGGTGGTTCACACCAACAAAGTTCGCAAATGGGAACTCGTACTCATTTGTTAGGTATGTTGCGTCGAAGCATACCACATCCCCAAAGTCCTCATAAGCAACCCTAATTCTTGCATCCACCCACATCACATCCTTAAGCCTCCCTTCTTCATCCAACCGTTGGGCATGGAAAAAATTTTGGTTGTCGGATTGCATTTTTCTAAAAAACTCCATCATTGCCACCGAGTCCCCTCCAACCATGTTCAACCGCTTTGCCTTGTACACCTCATGTTGTAAGTCTTTGACGGTGAGACACATTTTTTCCACTCCTTTTCGTTTGGATGCCATGCAACCGTGTATTTGAGAAACTGGTACACCTAGCTCATAGTAATCCATCAAGGTCCTCCTCAATGATGGGGTCAGGTGCTTCATGCGGTACTCCTTCACAAGCTTAGAATTTGCTGGATCAATCTGGTGATTATGCTCTAGGTGCACTGTCTTCAACACCCACAAGCCATCTTTATTCATTCTAGCATAAATACGGGCCTCACATTCACACTTTTTCGAAGTCCTCTTCATACGACGTAACTGATCCTCACATACCACCCCATCAACTAAACCACCTGAACCTCCAACACCCATTGCCTTTGCCCTCTTCTTGGCTTCCCTCCTAGCCCTCATGTCTGGTTTTCCCCAACACTCACACTTCTACTTGTTAGCTATTCTTTTTTTTTTGTTGTCCTTCTTACAATTTACACCTTGAACCCTAGACACTCCAAACGCCATCTGCTCAGCATACTTCTTATAGTAGGCTTCAACATCTTCCGAAGACGGGAAGACCATCCCTTCCTTAGGCTCTTCAACAATTACTGTCATATCATTGCTACGAACTGCCATATCGTTGCTACCAACCACAGTGTGAGTTGTCTGAATTGTATTCGAGGGGGATAAATACCCAACATTCATGTTAATATCTTCACTAACACTATCTGCAACAACTGTGTCTTCTAAACCCTCCATATCAATACCCTCCATATCAATACCCTCCAACATATCAATGTTACTCCTCCTGACCTTAACTCCACTGCCCCTATCACCAACACCAACATTACTGCCCCTTATAACATCTTCACTATTACTATCTGCAAGAACTATGTCTTCTATACCCTCCATATGAATATCCTCCTCCTAAACTTAACTCCACTCTTATAACATCAAAAACAATTCACTTCCACCCTTCAAAAGCAGAACACCAACAGAATTATGATACAAATTGAAACAATCATAACTCTCCGAACAAAGTACGACAATTCAACCAACACGTTTTGGCATCACACAAGACTATAAGACAGTTTTAGAAAGTATGAATTGAATTTTTATCCTAAATCAATCAGCAATTATCAGAACTTCAAACCCCATTATAACAGATCGCATTGCATATCATTATTGTATAAATTAAAACAACCATAGTCTGCGTAAGTACAACCAATTGAAAAAAGTATGAAATATCGACCAAGACAACACCAACACGTTTTTTCAGTAACAAGACAACAACACATTCTCATATTTTCCATTTTACACCCCTTTAAAACAAAATCAATCACCCATTTTCAGCCAATTTGTACCATTTCAACATAGGAATGTCAACGCATAACCCCATTACTTTCAATTATTCTGATTTCGGTCTCAATTGTGAATTCAATTTGACCAAAACCTTAGAACAGAACAACAGATCAGAACAAAAATTAACATGAAGGGACGAAGAAGAAAGAATAGAAAACTTCACCAACCTGTTATCTTCGACGGATTTCCGACAACTTGAAGACCCAATTATGTCATTTGGGCAGGTGAGGAGAGGTTAGGAGCTCTGATAGAGTTGAGGAGAGCTGTGAGCTAATTCTGAAAGAGGTGAGAGGAGCTGAGCTAGTTCTGTAATTCCGTTTTCTTGTTACGCCATTATTCAACCAATTTGACACATAAGCTGTCCCCACGAAAACCGAATCAGCATCTCAGTAAGTGAAAAACATCAAAATATTTTTAAAACTGCCATTGTGAGGAACGACCTTGTTTCTCACGATGAGCAATTGGGGCTCGCTCGTTATAAAATGTGTAAAAATTAAAACCAATAGGAAGATGAATTTTAGCAAATATATCCTTCCAAAGGATGGAAGAAGAGAAGTAATCCCTAAATAAGTGCAAATGAGATTCATTATACATATTGCATCTAGCACACAAGGGAGAAATATTAGGAAGGATAATTGTTAGCTTTTCAGCTACAGGGTGGATACTATGCACTATGTTCCAAAGAAGCATCTTTTATTTTGAAGGCACGATTATTTTCCACAAAGATTTCCAAGCTTAAAAGAAGGATAAGGTGGAGTAAGAGCAAGAGATAAGGGAATGATAGGCTGGCTTAATTGTGAACTCACCAGATTTTGAAGCTGTCCAATGAATAAAATACTCCATCATTGAGATCGTGGAAATTGGAGTGGCCAATATTTCTGAAATCAAGGTAGAAGGTAGAAGGTAGAAGGTGCTTAATGTCATCCAAATTTCAAACCCCATCCCTAATTAGGGGTGAGCACACCGGTACCCGATCAAAATTTTAGGAACCAGACTTGAAATTGGTTGATACCGGGTCCTAAAATCTAGAATTGGAATTGGAAACACTTTAACCTTATCCTAAAATTTAGGAATCGGTATTGGAACCACCGGGTACTGGTATCGGTTCCGGTTCTGGGTACCCACTAATGTACACAATTGTTAAATTTTAATACAATATTTTGATCCATTTTCATTTTTAGCGTTTAATAATTATATTTACATATACATAAAGCTATTTTATCTATGTTTTGTATTTTTATAATATTTTTTAATGTTAGTAACTAAATACATTTTAACATAAGTTTGTTCTTTAAATACATTTAGTTTAATAATTATTGGGTAACCGGGTACCCAACCGGTTCCAGGTCCAAAATATTGAGAATTGGAATTGGAACTGGTTGTAACCAGTTCCTTAATTTATTACTCGAAATTGGAACCACCGAGTCCAATTTCGATTTCGGACCCGCCGGTTCCTTACCGGTTCCAATTCCAACACCGGATACCCGGAATTTCTGCTCACCCCTGTCCCTAATAATGTTATGAACTAGCCAATGAGCCTTAAAGGGGGGAACCTCATCGGTCATAAGAAGATAAATAGGACCCTTTCCCACCCAATGATGATACCATAATGAAGTGGTAGCACCATTGCCAATGCCAATTCTAAGACCAGAGACAAGAAGCATTCTACCTTTAAGAATATCCTTCCATAACTGAGAATGTGAAGCTTTAATTTAGAATGCAGTCAAAGAAAGCTGATTTTTTTAAATATTTCTCATTGAAGATCCTAACCCAAAACTTAAAGGGATTATTTAAAATAGTCCAACCCAATTTAGCCATGAAACACAAATTCCACTCCCTAAGTCTTCTAATGCCTAGACCACCTACTGCTAAAGGCATGATTACATACTTCCATCCCAACCTAGGACTTTTATGGATATTATCAACTTTATTCCAAAGAAATTTTTGACACCTTTGTTCAATCCTATCTAACACCAAGGAAGGGATGAGGATAGTTTACATATGATAGACAGGATAAGAACTTAAAACTGATTTGATCAAAGTGCATCTACCTGCTAAATTCAAGAGCTAAGCCTGCCAACCTTTAATCCTATCCATGGTCTTGTCTAAAAGCCCCAAATAGTGAGAAATTTTGAGCTTTTTCGGGCTGATTTTAATGCCGAAATATTTGCCAAAGGAAGTAGTACATCTAAAACCAAAATAATGGGCAGTTTCAGATCTAACCAAATGATTCATCTTAGGAAGGAAAATCAAGGAAGACTTGCCTTGATTGATCCTTAACCCCGAGCTATCACTAAAAGAATTAATGACCTTAATCATCTCCTTGATATTCTCCCTTGAAGAGTTTCCAAAAAGAAAAACATCATCCGCATAGAAGAAATGGGACATATATATCAAGGGGGTGAGTTTGATTGGCTTCCATAAACCCCTACTTACATGATGCTCAATCATAAATGAAAGTCTCTCAAGACATAACACAAAGATGTATGAGGATAAGGGATCTCCTTGCCTTATGCCACGGTTAGGACTAAAGGACTCACAGATCTCACCAATCCACAACACATCAATCTTAGGAGAGCAAATACAATTCAAAATGAGCTTACTTAGAGGAGCAGGGAACTTAAAAAAGTCCAGGGTATCCTTGATGAAATACCACTCTAAATTATCGTAAGCCTTAATAAGATCAAGCTTTAGGGCACAAATATTTTTTCTTTTTCTTGCCTTTTTAAAAACATGAGCAATCTATTTAACCACTATGATATCATCTTCATTGCCCCTACCAGGAATAAAACTTGATTGCAAGGGGTTTATAATATTAGACAAAAAAGGTTTAATCCTATCAGAAATTAATTTAGTGATTAATTTCTAGCTTGTATTACACAAACCTATAGGCCTAAATTCCAAGAGTTTTGAAGGATTATTCACTTTAGGGATTAGAGATATATAGGATTTATTGGCACTAGTAGACACTTCATAAGATTGAAAACAGTTTACCAAAATTCATAAATAGAAGTACCTAAATCTGACCAAATGTTCTGATAGAAACGAGGTTGTATCCTATCTGGACCCGGACATTTCATAGGGTTCATGTTAAATATGTATTCTTTAACTTCATCAAAAAAAGGAATCTGAGACATGGCAGCACAATTTGAGTCAGTTAAATAAAAATTGGGACTATAGGCATCCTCACCAACTAAAGAGTGCAGTCTAGATTGAAAGACCTCCTTAAAATACTCTATTGCTAATCTTTTCAAGTAGGCACTATCCTTAATCCACAAATCATTGTTATCTTCTAATGCCAAAATTTTACCCTGACTTTTCTTGATTTTAGCCATGATATGGAAATATTTTGTATTATGAATAGCATATTTTCACTAATTAATACCAGCTTTTTAGCTCATATTATCCTTTCCTTTTTGTGAATCCTCTAAATATTTTCAAAGAGATTTCTCAAGATTTTCAAGAAAGACCGATTTATTACGACCCAAATAAAGCCGAATACCATGTAACCTAGCTATGATTCTTTTTTTTTCTATTTTAATGCTACCAAAAATATTATTATTAAAATTACGTAAACCATCCAAAAAATTATAATTAGCCGACTGCCAATTATTAACAAAAAAAGAAGCAAAATCCGGATCTTCAAGCCACACCTCTTTACACTCAAGGGGAAGGGGCCTTCAACAGTAGGATTAGTCATATCAATTAAAAGGGGGCAATGATCAGAATAATTAGTATGAGTGAGATGAAAAACCTTTGTATTAGGGAAAAGATCCAGCCAAGATAAGTTCCCAAGAGCCCGGTCCAATCTTTGCCTAACCAAAGCACCATCTTGTCTAGTATTCGCCCAAGTAAACGGAGCACCATTGAACCCTAGATCGATCAGCCCTGCCTTGTTAGAAAATTCATTAAAATCCCTGCATTGACTTTGCCTAAAAGGCCTCCCCCTTGACTTTTCTGACTGCTTAATAGCTTCATTAAGATCTCCCAGAAGGAGCCAAGGAGTATCCTCAAGAGAGATAGAATCCTTCATTTTCTGCCAATCCAAATGCCTCTCCTTCGACACGCTAAAATCATGCATGCTTGTTATGACTAACTTCGAAGTGTCATTGCGAAAGTGGAAAAGACCATGGAAAAGATTACCCTTATCCGTGAGAAAAAAGAGGTCAACCCCATTCTTCCAGAAATTCAACACCTTCCCTACTAGCATTCGGTTCAATAGCTTTGTAATCATCAAAAAACCCAATTGCTGGAAGACTTGCCCAACACATAACGAATTTGATTTTGTTTCAAGAAAAATAAAGATATTTGGATGATGAGAATCCACATTATCCTTTTCATGAGGAACAAATTCCTCATTATTCGCCCCTCTAACATTCCAAATAATGATTTTCATATTCAAAGCAGGGATGGAAAGGTGAAGGGTAGTTTTCGAAGAACTAGTTGGAAATATTTGCACTGGAATTAGGAGGAATAAAGTAATTCTTCCAATCTTTCCAATATTCCATTGCTTGCAGGGGGCCCACATCCTCCAATTTGATCGGAGTCAGTAAACATGTATGTAGTAAGACTTTAATTAGAGACAAATAGTTTATTTATCAGTTTTCATGCATAAAAAAATCTTATTATGATATTAGGTATTTGTTGGTTTTTATTAATCCCCAACAAATCATATAACTGATATATAAAGTTAAACTTTTAGCCAGATCATGAGATAGCGCAACACTCAAGCATGGCATTTCTTTCGCCAAGTATCGTTCTAAAAGAAAAGAGATTTGAAAAGCAATCTGAAAAGATTAATGCTGCACACATTGGATATATTTAGATAGAGTTCATAGGATAAAAAAAAATTAGTTTAGAATTATATTTTCAATCAAACTTGGATAGAATTTCAAGATAAAATTGTTAGTTGAGAATTTTATTTTTGATAAAATACCAATATTTCGTATAAATTGAATTATAATTTTATTCAAAAAAAAAAAATTATAACTCTTAAAAAAATACCAATATTATTATTAGTCATTTATATGCCTATCATTTATATGCCTATTACATAGTTTAAATCTTCACAAAATACATCAATTCCTAACTGATTTTATATTAGATATATATTTTGAGATTTGACAAATAGATTAAAATTTTATCTCAAAATTTAATAAACAATCCGGGCATCGCACGGGACACAAAACTAGTATTATAATATTATATGTAGTAAGGGCCTGTTCTCATTGACTGAAAGAGCTGAACTTATTAGAGCTGAACCGAACTAAACTGAAATGAATATTTTACGTGAGAAGAAAATTAGAAACCAAACTGAAGTGAATTAAACTGCACTTATTAGAGCTGAAATGAACTGAAAATAATCTGATGAGAACGGATCCTTAATAAGATGATATATTGCGGGTGTTTAAACTTTATTTGCAAACAAACATAGAATTGAATGCTTTGACCATATTTTGTGCAGCATCAATTTTCAGCTTGTACATAATCTGATGCTTGTTGTAAATACTCTTAAGGTTATAGCCTTTTATTAATATATTTCTCTGTTTTAGATTTAAAAAAAAAAAGAAAAAATACTTTGTACATATAATCATAACTATGTCTTCTTATAATTTATAATCACTGTCATATTCATCCTTGATTCCTTGCTATGATCAGAAAACTCTCCTTTTCTTGTCTTATCAGGCTAAGATATTTATCCTAAGAAAATATCTTCTCTAATAGTAAGATATTCAAGTAGAAGAACGTAATATATACAAGTGAAAAACATATTTTAGTTTTATCTTCAACATAGCACCTCTATATGTTTTTTTGTTGTTTTTGTTGAAATTCTTGTAGTCTTGTACTTTGATTATTCGCAGTGTGTGGCCGGAAGCTAAGGGAGATCAATGGGTCGTAAACTGATTTGATAGCGAGGCGAGCAAGAAGAGAAGGCTAGTTTGTTAGAGATAAGATCTTTTATCATCATCAAATTCTCCCATGATCTTCATCTTCATAGAAGTGGTTATAGACAAAAGTTTGTACAACAACAATGTGTTCCTCTAGATAGCGTTTCTGATCTTAATTTGTGTGGCAAATAATAACTTCTCTTTCGTAATCATCACTTTCTTAATTTTAGGGGAAAATAACTCAACTGAGATACATAAAGAATATATAAAATAGATTGATTATTATGCTTCATGATTAATGGTATAAAATTAGAAGAAAAAAAATCCACGTAGCATGCGAATGTGCTAGCTTCAATTCTGGAAATAGTGTACAGATAAAAGATCAAGAATTATTAGATGGTGTCTTGGTTTTTTGGATGGTTCCTATGTAATAACGAGGGAGGTCTAGACACTGTATATGTTAGTTGTTCGAATTGGGTTCAATTTGTGTCATATTTGAATGATGAGTCATTTTGTTCAACTTTTGCTAATTACTACCTCCGGTGGTTCAATTTACTCGCAACAATTTCCTTTTTTGGGTGGTTCAATTTACTCGCAACAAACTTGTTTCTTTCATTTTTTAGTATATTTTTGAATGGTAATTGACCAATATGTCCTTAATTTTTTTTCTTAAACAACCTTATCAAATTATCAATCTAATTTCATTACATTAAACCCCAATCTTAATTAATTAAACTCTCATCCCATTTAATTTTCTCTCTCCTCCACCAACCCCATTTTCATGGTGGCTTTGTGATGTTACAAACGACGGGGATTGTAGATCGGTGGCATCGTGGGTTTGGTTTCGTCGGTTTGATTCGTGGGTTGCATATCAGCGGTTTGCTTTCGTGGGTTTCAGATCGGCGCCGGTAGTGGGTTTGATTCGTGGGTTGTAGATCGGTTGTTTGGTTTCGTGGGTTGCACATCGGTGGTTTGGTTTCGTGGGTTTGAATCGTGGGTTTCAGATCGGCGGCGGTAATGGGTTTGGTTTCGTGGGTTGCAGGTTGGCGGTTTTGTTTCATGGGGTGATTATGGTGGGTCGGCGGGTTGCTGGGTTCGCGGGGTGGCTGAGTTCGTGGGTTGCTGGGTGCGTGGGGTGGTGGTGGGTAGATTCGGTGATGCTGGGTGGTGGTGGTGGGTGGTTTGGGTGATGCTTGGTGGTGTTGATGGTGGTGGGTTATTTAATTTAATTAAGGTTGAATTTTTTATTTTATTTTATTTTATTTTATTTTTGGGTTGGATTAATAATTAAGCATATACCCTTATTTTTCCATAATCATGTTTTCAATCTTTTGCCTTGGTTTCCGCAAACACGTCCTTTGTTGCGACTAAATTGAACAGGAGGTAGTACTTTATTTTTTCTCTGTAAGGTTCTTGATAGAGTATAAAACATAATCCTGGGCCTCAAGCATTAGCTTAAACTTTTGGTTGAGATGGTCCTTTAACCTAGTATCGGAGCCAACATGACATAGAGGTCACGAGTTCGAATCTCATCCACCCCTCCTTCACAGTTGAATTAATTCGCGCCAAGTATGGGTGGGCCTGTGTTGCATCCACATTTTAAGCCCAAAGAGCCTTTCATGTATGGGGAAGTGATAAAGTATAAAACATATTTTCGGGCTCAACCATCAGCTTAAACTTTTGGTTGAGATGGTCCTTTAACAGTTCTTCCAAAATTTGCGTTTTATAGGCTGAAAATAGCTAAATTTTTTGGGATATATGGCTCTTTCCGACCTTTACCCTATAATCATTGGTAGATTTATGTGCATGGGTATGGGGTCAATTGACGACCCTATTTGGGTTTTTTTTTTTTTTTTTTTTTAAATTTAACATTAAGTTTATTTATTTATTTTCAAAAAAACATATATAATTTTTAAACACGACCATTTAAACATTTACAAATTGATTAATCTTACAATAAACAAGTTTTGTGCCTAGACAATGCTCGAATTGTTGATAAAATTTAATAATAAAATTTTTAGCTTGAACATTAAATATGATACTATAATCCCTTTTGATAATGCAGAATATTTAGACATATGATATTATGTCACTTATTTATACAATAGTGTACTTATTGTAGTTTTGTTTGTAAATAGAAATCTATGTTGTTATTAACCTAAAATTATCGTTATTGTACTAAAAGTATTTTTATTGAGCTGAAAGTATTTTTATTAAACTAAAATTAGATTAAAACTTATTTTTTATTTAGGCAAATTTGTTAAAAAAAACCTTTTAAATGCATCATTTTGCGAAAAAAAACCTTGGTTTATTGGAAAATAAAACCCGAACTTAAATTTTTTTTGTTCAAAACAACCTAGTAACACTAATCCACATAATTAATATCTAATTTCTTCTAATCACTCTATAACTCTTACTTAACTATTTATTAATTTAATTAGTTTATA